CGGCCCGGCCCCGCCCACAGCACGAGCAGCCGCAGCTCTCGCTCCTTCTCGCGGAGCTTCTTCAGGATGGTCAGCAGCCCCATGGCGGCGCGGCCCCGCCCCCCCGCGCGCGCGCGGCTCGCTCATTGGCCGAGCCCCGCCCCGAGCCCCGCCCCCCCGCGCGCGCCGCTTCCGCCGCCGGCCCCGCCGCGCGGCGCCCCCTGGCGGCCCGGAGGAGCCGCGCGCTGATTGGCCGGCGGGGCGCCGCTCCCGGCAGACGGCTGTCAATCAAACCCCGTCAGCCAATGGCAGCGGCGGGGCGGGGCCGGAAGCGGCGCCGAGCGGAGCTGCCGGTGCCGGAACCGCGCCCGGAGCCGCTCCCGGCCCCGTTCCCCGTTCCTGTCCCGTTCCTGTCCCGGTTCCTGTCCCCGTTCCTCTCCCGGTCCCTGTCCCGGTTCCCTGCCCCGTTCCCTGTCCCGTTCCCTGTCCCGGTTCCCTGCCCCGTTCCCTGTCCCGTTCCCTGTCCCGTTCCCCGCTCCTGTTCCCGTTCCCTTTCCCGTTCCCGTTCCCTGCCCCGTTCCCGTTCTAACTCCCGTTCCCCGCTCCCGTCCCCCGTTCTCTGCCCCGCTCCCGGTCCCGTTCCCCGGTCCCGTTCCCCGCTCCCGTCCCCCGTTCCCTGCCCCGTTCCCGTTCTAACTCCCGTTCCCTGCCTCGTTCCCCGTCCCCCGTTCCCTGCCCCGTTCCCTGCCCCGTTCCCTGCCTCGTTCCCCGTCCCCCGTTCCCTGCCCCGTTCCCGGTCCCGTTCCCTGCCCCGTTCCCTGTCCCGTCCCCTGTTCCCCGTCCCCCGTTCCCTGCCCCGTTCCCTGCCCCGTTCCCTGCCCCGTTCCCGGTCCCGTTCCCTGCCCCGTTCCCGGTCCCGTTCCGGTCCCTCCCCGCTTCCCGGGGATGTCGCGGCGGGCGCGGGGCTGGCCCGGGGCGCTGCCGGCCCGCGCCGCCCGGGCCGCGCTCCAGCGCTGCCTGGGGCCGTTCCTGGAGGAGCCGCTGCGGCTGGAGCAGCTCGGGCTGGACCTGCGCGGCGGCACCGGGAGCCTGCGGGGGCTGCGGCTGCGCCCGGCGGTCCGCGGCACCGGGGGATACCGGGGATAACGGGGGGATAGCGGGGATAACGGGGGGACCGGGCACCGGGAGCCTGCGGGGGCTGCGGCTGCGCCCGGCGGTCCGCGGCACCGGGGGGATACCGGGGATAACGGGGGGATACCGGGGGGATAACGGGGGGACCGGGCACCGGGAGCCTGCGGGGGCTGGCGTTCCCGGGCTGGTTTCGGGTGATTTTGGGCCGGTTTGGGGTGATTTGGGGCTGGTTTGGGGTGATTTGGGGCTGGTTTGGGCTGATTTGGGGCTGGTTTGGG